TATTATTATTATTATTATTATTATTATTATTATTATATTTAATGTTTTGATTTTCATATTGAAAATTGGCATTGTTACAAACTGGATGCTATTAAAGAAATTGTGAGTTTTAAGCCGGGTCACCATTTGTTTTTCTTTCAACAAGAGCAATGCAAACATTGCGACTGGCGCACATTCAAATTATAGACACTAGACTCTAGACGACACGAGACTGGATTGTTCTTTAGAGTTCAAATTTCTGAGTTTCTTTCTAGACTGTTCTGGTGAACAAAAAGATGAGATGGGGGAGAAAGGAAAGGAAAGGAAAATTAAGAGTGATGAGAATGAAAAATAAAAGTAGGAAAGAAAAAGAGAAGAAATAATAACAGGGAAAGAGATAGGAGAGCGAAATCAATGAAAATGAGAAGGAAGGAAGAAGAAGGAAGTAGAAGAATTGAAAAACAAAGCGAAAAAGGATAAGGATAAGATGTTATCGATTATAGGAAAGAAACTCGAGTTAAGGTTAACAAGAATAGCCCCTCCTTTAACTATGCATCGGTAAATAATCCCGAACTAGTTCCTGTTTGTTGTCTGCAACACCAGTTCATGCAACCGCGTGACTGTCACCTATAGTCCATGTTGGACTCGTTTTACTGACGGATGCCAACTCGGTTTCAGTGACCTTCACAACCAGGGCGGTTTGATCGTTATCAAATTTTATTGCTGATTCTTCCTGTTCAAGAAGACAGAAAGTCCGAGGAAGCACCGCATGAGAAACCATGAATTGGAATCAAGTAAAATGTTCCAAGTGGGATATTTTCTATTGAATACACATGTAAGGGCTGTGTTTATAGATGCATAAGAAGGTAGCTCTTAAGTGGTATCCACTTTCTTTTTTCTGAGTCTGGCCAAAGGGTTTAAATTCCCTTTGGAATGACTCTCAAATGGCTTTTCTCTGGCTAGTACAAAGGGCTTTTCTTTTTAATGAGGTTGCAAACGAATTTCTCTGACTACATCCGAAAGTGCTTTTCTTTGTAATGAGCTTCAAATGGATTTTGATGATTACATTTAGAGTTTCAATTTTTTTTTTTTTTTTTTCCCCCTCTGGCTGCATCCAAAGGGTTTCTCTTTGGAATGAGTTTCAAATAGGTTTTCTCTGGCTGCATCCAAAGGGCTTCTCTTTGGAATGACTCTCAAATGAGTCTCAAATGAGTCTCTTTTCTCGCGAGCTTCAAATGGATTTTGATGATTACATTTAGAGTTTCAAATTATTTTTTTTCTCTCTGGCTGCATCCAAAGGGTTTCTCTTTGGAATGAGTTTCAAATAGGTTTTCTCTGGCTGCATCCAAAGGGCTTCCCTTTGGAATGACCCTCAAATGAGTCTCAAATGAGTCTCTTTTCTCGCGAATGTCTGGCTCCTAAAAATGGCTTTTTTGAACGGACTCCATTACAAACGCAGTTCAGACAGACATATCAAACTAGGATCTAGAGATCTCTGTAGTTGTTGACCTGGTTAAATTAAGAATGTCGTAACAAAGTGAAGACAAAGAACCTGTCTGGACCCATCCAAATACTCCAAAGTTAATTATACGAATGACAAACGCACATACAGCACGTATTCACACACTTTTAACAAGTATGGCTCAGCATGAGTTATCAAGATTAGTCGGTCAATTCCCCTAACATGTAACCATGCTAAGCTAAGATTATCAGTGCTGTTTTTAAGACTTCTTTTAAGTTCTCGAATGTTGGACTAATAAAATACTAGGAAAATTTCCACTCTTAACATGTGTTATAGTTTAGTGGTAGGGTGTTTATACTAAGTGCTATCCGGTTATGTCTCTTTTCTAAATATTCAGAATATTTCTAAGTACTGGTGGGCCGGGTTGCAAACATTCCTAAGAAAGTCAAAATACAAAAACATGTCGGCCATCTTGGTGCGGTTAACAATTGATGCTATTGAGAAATCGTTTGTTAAATGGCACCAACATGGCCGCGATGACGTAACGTGCAATCGTAGAATAGCTAGAATTACTGACCCGTAATCCATGGGATTTTGCCGATAGCGGAATAAATTTAATTTGTCTCGAGTTCTAACCACTATATACCAAGAAGTCATACAGGGCTCTATTGATCTTATTTGTATTTTTTTTTTCCTCTTTGCTTCAAGGTGATTCTATCTAGGGTGCCAGCGATCTGGTAGTTGAATCTACGTATAGGTGTCATTCAAGGTTAGGGAAGGGCAGAAAATGACCCCTTCTCCTCAAAATAACGGAGGAAATACTTGTTACTTGAGCAAATCTGATAATGAATCACTAGAGCATCCTTCCTTCTCTCCAGTCCACTCACCGCTCGAGGGCATACAATCTCGTACCCATGCAGAGCCCAAGTTCTTCTTGGTCAGCACCGAGAAACGTTCCTCGGTACTGACCAAGAGAAAAGTGGGCTCTGGGTACGATATTGGGGTAGAATCATGCCAGCTTCATGCTTCAGTGTCGTCTTGCTAATTACAATTTTCCATACATTGGTTCACTGGTCAAACACAATGCGCTCAAGCGAGGCGCCAAGGTGCTTTCAAAGGCTTATTCAAATTTGAACCTTGCAACCTCGACTGAATGCTTCGTGTTTGACCAGTGAACCGATGTATGGAAAATGGTGAATTTTTACTGCATCGTTACATTAAAGTATTGCATTGAATTTTTGTATCCCTAAGATTGAAGATTCCTGGAAATCCTCGCGGGGTTGCAGAATAAAAAGGTGATACCAACTAATTACAGTCAAACAGAAAACTTAAGTACATCTTAGGGCAGGGGGTAATACGTTTTTAATCAAATCTGGGTTTTTTTTCCGACTGGGTCAAGGGGTCAAGTGGTCAAAGGGTCAAGTGGTCGCGAAGGAAAATAATAAAATAACATAAAAATAATATAAAAATGATATAAAATTAATATTAATATAATATTAAAGCAATATATAAACTAATTTTAAAATATTATTAAGAATAATATAAAAAGCAGTATAAAAATAATATAAAAAACAACTTGGAAACCGCAAGGTAAAGAGATGCGCAATTAAAAGATGCTAGTTATTTCTGGCGCGCGTCAATTCTTTCACCATTTATTGACAAATATCATCATTTAATTTTTTGTACAAAGATCAAGAAAACAAATCATTATTCACACGACACAKAACACGAATTCGCAACAGGATAATTCTTATGATAATTCATATCATGTTCGTATCGATATCAAAAAGCACAAATAGTTTTCATTTGTGGGTCAAACTATTAAGATACAACAAGATTGAAAAGCTCAAGATTATATTTTTCTTTTTCATTTGCTCTAAATTTATTAAATAACCTGCAGGTGAAGAGAGTTTGTTTTACCCCTTTGTGATCGAGTTGTGGTAAAACGGAGGGTAGATAAAGACCCCATGCAAGCAGGAGATGTATGCTACAACAGCGAGATACTATATAGTAGGCAAAACAGAGGTTGTATTCCTCGAAGCGCAAAAGAATTCGATGCAAAATCATGCGCAACATTGATTGAGGAAAGAAACGCGGTATCTCTCTATTCGAATGGCAAGTAGGTGTGTGCGTCTATCTACAATATGGGTTCATGTCCTTCAGTATGAAATGAGCACGTGTTCTCCCCATGCATTGAGTGTGTCTGTCTAACCGGATGGCATGTAGGTGTGCGCATAAATTGACCATATGTCTTACTCATCCATTTTGGGGGTGGTGTACGCACAAAGTGGTGGAGTGTCTGTCGATCAGATTGGCAAGTGAGTTTGCTCGTCTATCCATGGGTACAATACAAAGTGACCATGTGCCCTTCCTATGCAATAAGTGGGTGGTGTACACACAAAGTAGTAAAGTGTCTTACAATCAGATTGGCAAGTGAGCGTGCTCGTCTTTCCATGGGTCAATGTCCTAGAGCTTCAATACAAAGTGACCATGTATCTTCCTCAAAGAGTAAACGTGTGTCTATTGGCAAGACATAAAGTGGGTGTGTCCCTTGACGTGGTCATTAGAGTCTCGTCTTGTTAGAGCTCTTTTTTCCGCTTTCCGGCACAGCCTGTAGTGAGAAATCCTGTAGTGTACGACACATGCACAAACCAATGAAACCATCTCGGTAATCTCTGCTCATGCAGTAAAGAACCAAAGGATTGATGACGTGTTTGACGTAAAATAGAAGCATGGTTGATATATTTACATAGGGGAACGCCTCGTGTGTTGTCAGGGGTCGCGCGAACTCGTAGATCAGCATAATGAATGCTCTTGGAAGATAACACAACTGGAAGATTAGCATCAGCACGACAAGCATTCTGATCAACCTTTTTTTCGTCCTGACGCGCTGTTTAGAAGTTTGGATTTGAATCTCCGCTGTTGTGCTGGTCGACTCACGATGGTCTTGGATGGCGTCCTTCCTTCGTAGTACCCTGATCACCATGATATAACAGCAAACCTGACACACCAAAGGAATCAAGATAAAAAACACCACAAGATACAGAGAAAAGATGTAACGATCCTCTTTAGGGAACTGAGACGCCAGGCAAGTCGTGACTCCATTACGAAGTTCATGTTTCACGAAGAAAAGAAGAGGAAACGAAGTACCGAGGTAACAACCAATCCAAATGAACAAAATGGATATTTTCACTTTACGTTTGTTTAACCTCGGCTTAAAAGGAGCGACTATTGCTCGGTATCTTTCCAGGGCGATGGCAGTGTGACTTAACACGGATGCTGAAGCTAGTGTATCTTGTAATGGAGCGATAACATAACAAAGGACTTCACCAAAGATCCAGCCACCAGTGTGCTGCTCAATAATCCTTAAAGGCGCCATTACTAACGATACAATCAGGTCTGTGAAAGAGATATTTGCGATGAATAAATTACAAGGTGTCCTCATGTCGACCCAGCGCACCAATGTTAATATAACCAAGAAGTTACCAACTGTTCCCAAGGAGCTGACAAGAGAAAAGAAAACTGTGGCTATTAGCTTGATGTCTTCAGGTGCCAAGGCACCTGTGAAACTAGGACTTGTGTTGTTGATGGCAGTTGCATTGGTGCTGTAATTCGTACTGTGATTGGATGACATGGCTCTGCAGAATTAGAACATTGAAGTTGTTTTTAATGCTTCTTGGTTGATGGGGAAGCAGCGGAGTTCATGCGAACAAAGTCACTCGGTCGGTAGTATCTGCTGCCCCGACAGATTTTAATTCTCTTGCCTTCTCTTTCTCCTCCTCTTTTGTCTTTCTTCTTGTTCCTCTTCTTGTTCTTCTTGTTCTTCTTCCTG